TGGTGGTGATGATGGTGGTGGTGGTGATGATGATGGTGGTGATAGTGGTAGTGATGGTGATGGTGGTGATGATGATGGTGATAGTGGTGGTGATGATGGTGGTGGTGATGGTGTTGATGATGGTGGTGGTGATGGTGGTGATGGTGATAGTGGTAGTGGTGGTGATGATGGTGATGGTGGTGATGATTGTGGTGATGGTGATGATGGTGATGGTGATGGTGGTCATGGTGGTGGTGGAGGAGGTAAAGGTGGTTAGGGTGATGGTGCTGATGGCTATGTTGGTGAATTGTAGGTGGAGTGGTGGTGATGGTGGTGTAATGATGAAAGGCATCAAACCTTTAATGAGTATTTACTAGGGAACACTGCACTTCACTAAAGTGCTCTATTTCAATAATTGCAATCTATTTCTCACACAAACCTTTAAGGTAGGTATCATCAAACTCATCTTAGCGAGGAGGACACTGAGACACGATAGGTGACATCCCTGGGCCAGGTTCACAGGCCAGGGCCCAGCAGGCTAGCGGGTCTAGCATTCCCGGTCAGAGCTAGGCCTTGGCACTAGCCAGTCACCGTTCGCACTGCCACAGTCCCCCGCGCAGAGGGGAGGACGAAGCCCAGCACCTGGATTCAGGCACCAAGTCCCACCCCGAATGGAGGCCCCGAAAGGGTGGCTACAGGAGTGGTGGCCGAACCTGTGAGCTGCAGGATCTGGTCATCAAAGTGCGTCACCGCCTCGTCGTGCATGACCTGGCCTCCGCTCACAAACTCCAGGCGTCCGTGGGCCAGCAGCTCCCGGACCTGGTGCGGCAGGCCAGAGGAAAGGGCCAGGTCAACCCCAGAGCGCGGCGGCTCTGCGGGGACATGTGCCAGCAGCTCGCGGACCTGGTGCGGCAGGCACAGAGGAAAGGCCAGGTCAACCCCAGAGCGCGGCGGCTCTGCGGGGACATGTGCCAGCAGCTCGCGGACCTGGTGCGGCACAGAGGAAGGCCAGGTCAACCCCAGAGCGCGGCGGCTCTGCGTGGACATGTGCCAGCAGCTCGCGGACCTGGTGCGGCAGGCACAGAGGAAAGGCCAGGTCAACCCCAGAGCGTGGTGGCTCTGCGGGGACATGTGCCAGCAGCTCGCGGTGCCTCCCCTGAAACTCCCACCTTCATTCCTTCTGCAGAGGCAGGACACTGTCCCGCTCAGCACGGCAAACCTCCACCCAGAGCAGCACCTGGCCTGTGGCTGCTGCAGGTTATAGCTTTTTAATTTTTTACTTTTTAAAATATATATATATATTTTATTGATTTCAGAGAGGACGGCAGAGGGAGAGAGAGATAAAAACATCCATGATGAAAGAGAATCATTCATCGGCTGCCTCCTGCACGCCCCCTGCTGGGGACCAAGCGGGTAACGCGGGCATGCGCCCTGACCGGGAATCGAACCGTGACCTCCCGGTTCACAGGTCGACACTCGACCACTGAGCCACACTGGCCAGGCTAAATTTTTACTTTTGAAACAATCTCAAAGTTAGAGAAAATGTGCAAGAATTGTACAAAGAGCTCCGTGGGTCCCCAGGCTGGAGTCTTCGAGGCTCACTTTACCCAGTTTCCTTCACGCTCCCCCATGTCTTTCTGTGCAGTGTGTGTTTCTAAACCATTTGAAAGTATCAGTTAGCAAGGGCATGCCTTCTACCCGCAGAAGTTCAGTTAGCGTCAGGGAAGAAAAAGATCATTTTAATCATAGCCTCATGATCAAAATCAGGAGATTCACCCTCGCACACCGCTAGCTAAGCCCCAGACTTCCCCCACAGTTTGCCGAGAGCTCCCCGAACATCCTCCTCCAGGGGTGGCTGTGAGCTGTCATCGCCCCGCGACCTTCCCTGTGGAACAGCTCCTCGCCCGGCCTGGCCTTCACGGGAGGGACCGTTTCGGAGATCACAGGTTAGTCCTTTGGAGAACGTCCTGCAGTTTGGGTTTTTCTCATGACATGCTGAAAGCATGTGTCTTTTCAGAAGACTTTCATCTCATCCACGTCTTCCAACGTGCTTCTAATGCAGTGGTTCTCGACCTTCCTAATGCCGCGACCCTTTAATACAGTTCCTCATGTTGTGGTGACCCCCAATTTCATTGTTACAAATTGAACATAATTAAAGCATAGTGATTAATCACAAAAACAATATGTAATTATATATGTGTTTTCCGATGGTCTTAGGCGACCCCTGTGAAAGGGTCGTTCGACCCCCAAAGAGGTCGCGACCCACAGGTTGAGAACCGCTGTTCTAATGTTTTTGAAATATCGGAAGAATAGTAGATAATCTTAAGTAAATGAATGGGAGAATGGAACATAACTAATGGCCAAAGAACGTGGGCCATGTCGCCACCCTGCTGTTCACAGACTGTCTTTTTTATTTGCTTTATGAAGGCGCAGTATTTATACTGCATTCACTCAACAAATAAGGAATGAGCCCCTACTCCGTGCTGTTTTAGGTGACCACCTACTACACGCCAGGCCCTGTTCAGGCTTTGCGGATCCAGCCATGGAGGAAACAGACAAAAACCCCTGCTCCCAGCACGCTGGGCCATTGAGTTCCCTGCCCGGGTGTTTGTTGGGACCCTCCGCTCCCCGGCGGGGAAGTGGGGGTAGGAGACAGACAACTGGGCTTGGCGCGTCCATGGAAGAAAGTGTGGACCGCCCACTGGACACCTGGAGAAACGTACTTTGTCAGACATGCATGGTTCAGAATCCCTCCTGTCACATATGAGCTGTGACCACAGGACCGTCACCTGCCCTCTGCGAGCCTCCCCAGCTCCGTAAAGCGGGGTCACTAGCCCCCCATAAAGCCAGTAGGGAGGGTCCAATGAAGAAATGTGTAAAGAGCAGGAGCCCAGCCCAGCTGGCCCAGTGGTTGAGCGTCGACTTATGAACCAGGAGGTCACAGATTCCCGGTCAGGGCACATGCGGGCTCGATCCCCAGTGGAGGGCGTGCAAGAGGCAGCCGATTGATGATTCTCTCTCATCATTGATGTTTCTCTCTCTCTCTCTCTCTCTCTCTCTCTCTCTCTCTCTCTCTTCTTCCCCCTTCCTCTCTGAAACCATTACAATATTCATTTTTTTAAAGCAGGAGCCCAACGCTGGCCACGGCCCCATCGAATGGAGGCTCCTCCTCATGACTCCGCAGGGGTCCTCAAATATTGTATTTGTTCCCGTTTTGTTTTTTTACTTCAAAATAAGATATGTGCAGTGTGCACAGGAATTTGTTCATAGTTTTTTTTTAACTATAGTCCAGCCCTCCAATGGTCTGAGGGACAGTGAACTGGCCCCCTGTTTAAAAAGTTTGAGGACCCCTGCTCCACAGCTTCAGCTTCAGACACCCCTCCAGGGGGCCCCGGAGCTTCCTGATCAGCCTTCTTAGCTTTGCACCGCTTATAAGCCACGGGGACCGTTGCACGTGGTCGGGGTGCCCAGGTCCGGGCCCATGGCCGCGCACACTCGGAAATGAAGGCTGCAGGGGTGGGCACAGGGCCACCCCAGGAGGCCCGTGCAGGGGGCCCACTCGGCAGGGCTCAGTGCCCGGCGGGGGAGCGGGGCTGCGGTTTCATGAGGGGCCAGGAGGCCAGGGTCTGTGCAGCTGCCTGGAGGGACCGCCGACCGTGCCACATCTCAGCAGCCCTGTGCCAGCCCAGGGGCCGCCCAGCCCTGCCCCGTGCCACCCGTCACCTGGAGCTTCTGGGTCCTCGAGGCGAACTGGTCCCACCACAGCCGGAAGTACTCCTGCTCCACGGCGATGAAGCGCCGGTGCTCCTTGAGGGTCAGCTCCCGCACCACCGAGGTGTACACACTGGCGGCGTAGATCTGCATGTTCTCCTGGGGGTGGGGGGGTCACCAGCTGGGCAGGGACCGTGCCTGCACCGGCCTCCCCGCTCCCGCTGCCTTCTCTCTGCTCTCATCAAGGACCCACCCACTGCCCGGACACAGGGAGGCTGGGACGCAGCAAAGGACACGCTCGCCAGCTCGGTGAGAACACGCTGTCCCGGAGAGACGAGGAGTCGGACCATGACCCGCCCCGGGCAGTGCCCGGAGGGGCCAGCGGCCCGAGCCAGGAGAGGAACTAGGTCCCAGGGCCCTCCGGGGCCTGCTGGGCTCAAATGCAGGGAAGGCTGTGTAGGGAGCGGTCCCTGAGGTCACCTGCCTCCCTCCCCCCAGGTGGGGGCTCTCGGGGGTGACCAGCTGCTTCCCATCAGGGTCTCCGGGTGAGCACTGGGCAGCGAGTCAGCAGGCTGGAGGGTTATTCTGAGTGACCTGGGACCTTCTCTGGCCTGTTTCCTCTTCCGTAAAAGGGGTGACACGCATGCTCCCCCTCCCCAAGCCAGCTCCATCTACAGGAGTTGTCACCCCAGAGGCTCCCAATGTGCCCCCGACCAGACTGAACCCTCGGCCTCAGCCTCTTCCTGCCCGTGTCTCTGTTACACGAATGTCCTTCGCAAAGTGACGGGTCCCACCACAGCGGCCTTTGCTCATTTGTATAGGTATTTCCTCCCTCATTCCAAAGAGTGAGAGGCAGCCCAGAAACAAGAAAATCGGGGACTTCCACGCCTTTTCTCTTTGTGCCGATTCACTCATTCAGCGATTCTCCGTGTCCGTCAGCACACAGAGAACGTTCGTAATAAAGGGGTGCAGCCACCGCCCCCCCCCCCAGCTGTGGGGCTCCTCTCTGGTGGGAAGCAGGCCATCGCAGGCAGAGGGTGGGAGGGATAGACTGCAGAGCCACTGCCTGCAAGGCCTCACCAGGCAAGTGACTCACCAGGGGAGCGAGTGCCTGCAAGGCCTCACCAGGGGAGTAGAGCGCCCTGGGAGTGAGGGACGGAGTCCCGCCAATATCTGGCAGGAAGAGGGAGAACCAGTGCAAAGTCTGAGGCCTGCACCCCCTGCGGGAGGGGGACGGGCCCAGAGCAGCCCCCAGAGCAGGGCTGACCACGGCCTGACTCAGGCCAACGCACCTTCCTCTGGCCTTGGCTGCCTGTCGCTGGGGGGGAAGCTGGGTTCAGAGGCAGGAAGTGATCGGCTCAAGGTCAGCCGCCCAGTCACCCACCCAGAGGCACACCTGGAGGCAGGCTGACCCCTCCACGCTGGCGCGGACCCGGCGCAGAAACCCACGCTGGGCTGCGCAGGGAGAGGGGGCCGCACCTACCTGGACCGTGTAGAGCCAGCCCACGTCCATGTGGCTGTGGGGCACCACGAAGACCCTGATGGTGTCCTCGGCCCAGGTCCCTGGCAGCTGCAGCACCACCAGCTGCGCGAACAGAGGCAGCCAGCGCGGCAGCCCCATCCCAGAGCCTGGCGGGCAGCGGCCGGTGCGGGGACTTCTCGTCCACAGCCAGCAGGCAGGCCGCTAGGCAGCAAACTGGGCAGCTGCCCCCACCCCGCCCCCCAGACCCAGGGGAGGGAGCAAGGGAGCAAGTAGGCGATTAGGAAGCAGGGAGCCCCGGGCTAGGTGTGGCCTGAGCCCTGCCCTGCGGGGGGGGGGGGCGAGGGGGGGTGGTGCTTGCTCAACAACTTCCAGTGATCGGCCCCCATCTCCCGTTTTCAGGCCATTGCTGTCCACCTTTTTTAAAAAAAAAAAAATTTTAGAGAGAGGAAGTGGGGGAGAGAGAGAGTGACATCAATGTGAGAGAGAAAGAAAACTCGTTCAGTTGCCTCCCACACGTGACCTGATGAGGACTGAACCCACAACCTGGGTACATGCCCTGACCGGGAATCGAACCCACCACTTCTTGGTGTACAGGATGATGCCCCAACCCACTGAGCCACTCAGCCGGGGCCATTGCTGTCCATCTTTAAGCTGAATCCCAAATGCCACCTCGCCCGGCAGCCTGCCAGGTGTCCCCTCAGCCAGGGAGTGCCCAGTGCCCACTCACCTCGCTTGTGGCTCTCTTGAGTGCTCTCTCTTGGCGTCCCCACCCTCTGGGATGGACTCCTGGGCTCCGTGTTTGTCTTGCAAAACTCAATTCCAAACTCAGCTTGGGAAGTGCCACCACCAGGAAGCCTGCCCTGATAGCCTCTCCCTCACAGGAAGCCCCAATCTGGGCCACGTGCTAGGGCCTGGCACTCCACCTTCAGGAGGACAACTGGCCTTCAGAAGGCCTTGCCGAGATCACCGAGCTGGTGGAGGAGCAGACTGTCCTAAACAGCCAGGGTCAGATCCGGGTGCGGGATGGCGACCCTGGACAGACACGTCAGCCCCCTGCCCCCCAGCCGGCGCATCGAAAACTGGGGTGGCAGCGGAGGGCTGTGGCTTCAGTGCCACGCACTGCGGTGACACTGCGGCGTCCCCGGGCCACCTGGAGGCCTGGCGAGGCCGCATCAGGGCAGCCTGGGCCATCTCTGTGGTGGGGGACCACCTGAGCACCACGTGCTCAATGCCCGCGCTGCCCGTGTTGTCGTGTCATTCACTGGGCAACGCACCCGGAGAACAAGGCCGTCCTCAAGCAGGTCGGGGTCCCTCTGCTCCACCGCCTCCCGGGTCTCTCGCCTGAGGCAGACAGGACGTGCCCCGCACCTGCGCCCACATCCTGCCAGGCACACAGCGCCCCATTCGCCATGGCCAGGGGGCCGCGCTCAGCCCAGGGGTGTGGGTGGGTGCTGCCCCCTTCAGGCTGGCCTGAAACATGGCCCCCTCTCCCTCACCCACTTCCCCTCTCCCTCACCCACAGCCCCCCTCCCTCACCCACTTCCCCTCACCCACTCCCCCTCTCCCTCACCCACTCCCCTCTCCCTCACCCACAGCCCCTCTTCCTCACCCACAGCCCCTCTTCCTCACCCACAGCCCCTCTCCCTCACCCACATCCCCCCTCCCTCACCCACTCCCCTCTCCCTCACCCACAGCCCCTCTTCCTCACCCACAGCCCCTCTTCCTCACCCACAGCCCCTCTCCCTCACCCACATCCCCCCTCCCTCACCCACTCCCCTCTCCCTCACTCAGGGCCCGAGCAGAGGGCACTGGAGGACCTCCGGGCTCAGAGCGGCCACTGGGCGTGAGGAATGCGTGACTGGCAGGTGCTAAGCCGCTGGGTGCCTCTGACAAGCGTGCCCGTTCTGCTTCCTGCGATGGCCATGCCACGCCCCGCACCCGGACCACGTCACAGGACACGGCACTGACCTCCTCCCACTGTGGGACCCTACAGAGGACAGGCTCTGATTGTCCAGAGGAAGGCGGGGGGCACTGTGCTCCCCCGGCCAGGGAGGCGCGAGTCTCCCGCCGAACAGTCACCTGCCCCGGGCAGGGCACACCGTGACGGCTCCCGAGGGCCGTGGCTGCAGGGGAAGAGGGCGAAGCTCAGGTGGTCTCGAGGCAGGAACAGCGTGCCCCTCGGGGTATGCATGGGCGGCGGCCAGATGGGCGCCTCCCCGTTCTCCGAGTCCCCGTGACCGCAGCCCCTCTGTCCTCCGGAGCGAGCGGACAGGCCTGGGGCTCACGCTGCCGCTCCATGGTGGGAAACTGCCCAGGGCACACTGGTGCCCATGCCCTGGGGGACCCGCAGCATGGACGGCATCGCCTGCCTCCGCCCTGCCGTGGCCCCGGGCCCGCCCTCAGCTGTGCTTCAGGCCTTCGGGGTCAGGCTCTAGCCCTGGACCTGGGACTTCCAGTCTGTGGTACTTGTCAGGGTGGCCCTGGAAAACTAACACGGGTGCTTCTGCGGTGAAGGCATGACATGGGGGGTGGGGGGGGGTGCCGCGGTCCCCAGGCCAGCCAGGTTTGCCACCAAGAAGTGAAGCAGCCGTGTGTCCGGGCCTGGGCTTCAGAGCCGCAGCCCAGCCGCCGGGGGCCTATCTGTGTGAACAGGCGCATAACCAACTCACACACCTGCTCAGTCAGCCGGGTGCTTGGCCGTCCAAGGCCACCGCTCACCTTCTATCTGTACGGTTTTTAGGGTCTTCTGTTGGGGAATCTCCCCGAGGACCCCTGAGGCAGGGCTGACACCAGAGGGACCCGGGGCCCTTGTGATTCATCAGGCCAGTGACCAGGCTGGCGCTGGAGGGTGTCAGGCCATGGCAGGCCCTGCAGGCAAGGACATACACTTGGTATTTTCTAAGCCATCAGCGAAAGAAACCATCCACAAAACAAAAAGGGAGCCCACTGCAGGGGAGAACACATTTGCCAGTGATACGCCTGATAAAGGGTTAATCTCCAAAATATATAAGGAACTCATACAACTTAACAAAAGGAAGACAAACAATCCAATTAAAAAATGGGCAAAAGACCTAAATAGCCTCTTCTCCAAAAAGGACATACAGAAGGCCAAGAGACATGAAAACATGCTCAAAGTCACTGATCATCCGAGAGATGCAGATCAAAATGACAATGAAGTGTCACCTCACACCTGCCAGAATGGTTACAATCAACAAATCGGCAAATGATAAGTGTTGGCGAGGATGTGGAGAAAAGGGAACCCTCGTGCACTGCTGGTGGGAATGCAGGCTGTGCAGCCACTGTGGAGAACAGTATGGAGTTTCCTCAAAAAATTAAATATGGAAATCCCATTTGATCCAGTGGTCCCACTTCTAGGAATATATCCTAAGAAACCCAAAGCACCAATCAGAAAGAATGTATGCACCCCTATGTTCATAGCAGAGCAATTTACAATAGCTAAGGTCTGGAAACAGCCTATGTGCCCATCAGTAGATGAGTGGATAGAAAAGCTGTGGTACATTTACACCACGGAATACTATGCAGCAGTAAAAAAAAGAATCTCTTACCCTTTGAGACAGCATGGAGGGACCTGGAGAGTATCATGGTAAGTGAAATAAATCAGTCAGGGAAAGACAGGTATAACATGATCTCACTCATATGTGAACTCTACATAACAAAATAAACTAATCAACAGAGTGGATCCAGAGACATGGAAGCAGGGAACAGAGTGCGGAATCTCGGAGGGAAGGTGGGGGAGAGTGGGTGGGAGAGAGGTAATCAACCAAAGACCTTGTCTATATATATAAAAGCCTAAGGAACCAAACAACAGAAAGACCGGTCGCTATGACCGCGCACTGACCACTAGGGGGCAAACACTCAATGCAGGAGCTGCCCCCTAGTGGTCAGTGTGCTACCACAGGGGGAGCGCCGCTCAGCTGACCCACCTGTCCTGGCAGCCCACCAGCCCAGCGGCAGCCACTCACTCCCTCAGTAGTCCTGCAGGTCCAATCTCCGGAGAATGGGCCAGGCACCGACAGACCAGTGCCAATGGCACAATCCCAACAGCACCAGTGGCCTCCTGGAAGTTGGCCTTGGGCACCGCGGCCGCTTCCCCTCCCCAGACGTTCCACAAGGAAGAAACGATATGAAAGTGGCCGCCAGGTAGCTCTCAACAACCAGCTCGACCGTCAGCGGGACGGATCCAGATCCCAGGCCGGCAAGGGTGTCCCACTGCCCGCCCGGAGGGCCGATAGCATCCCAGGTGGCCCCCCACGCCCCTCCGGATGAGCACCAGGTGCAGGGCTCATGGCTGGCGAGTGCCACTGCAGCAGGCGCGAGCCTGTGGCAGGCACAGCAGGGCCAGGATGAGCGGGAGAGGCGGGCAGGAGCGGCAGGTGGCATTGGACTGCCGATTTCGGCCCGATCCCCCAGGCCACCCCGAGGGACCCCACCCATGCACGAATTCATGCACCAGGCCTCTAGTATGCAAATATAGTGGGGCCTTGACTTACAAGTTTAATTCGTTTCGTGACGGAGCTCGTAACTCAAATTACTCGTATGTCAAATCATACGAGTGAGACACGTGATGCTGGGCTGATGTTGTGGCGTTCACTGTGACGTTCACTGTGCCAACTAGCGGTGGGGTATCTGAAGCTGGCTCGTAACCCGAATTTTAGCTCGCAACTCAAAGCAAAAAATCGGCCGAGAGACGGCTCGTATCTCGAAAAACTCGTTAGTCAGGACACTCGTAAGTCAAGGCCCCACTGTATGCATAACCCATGGACACAGACAATAGGGTGCTGAAGGCCTGGGGCAGTGGGTGGGGGGACAGTCTTGAGGGGCTCAATAGGGGGAAAAGGGGAACATATGTAATACTTTCAACAATAAAGAATAATTAGAAGAAAAAAAAAAGAATCCTCCCATAGCCCGGCCTGCATAGCTCAGTGGTTGAGCATCGACCTATGAACTAGGAGGTCAGAGTTCGATTCCCAGTCAAGGCACATGCCCTGGTTGCAGGCTCGATCCCCAGTGTGGGGCATACAGGAGGCAGCTGATCAAAAAAGGGAGGGAGGGAGGAAGAAAATACACTTGATGTTGGAGAGGTTGGGGAAAAAGGGAACCCTCATTCGCTGCTTGTAGGAATGTAGGCTGGTGCAGCCACTATGGAAAGCAGTCTGGCGATTCCTCAGAAAATTAAGAATAGAGCTACCATACGCCCCAGCAGTC